CAGATGCTGGAGAGGATGTGGCGAAATAGGAACACTTTTACACTGTTGGTGGGAGTGTAAATTGGTTCAACCATTGTGGAAGACAGTGTGGTTATTCCTCAAGGACCTAGAAATAAAAATTCCTTTTGACCCAGTAATCCCATTACTGGGTATATATCCAAAGGATTAGAAATGGTTCTATTATAAAGACACATGCACACTTATGTTCATTGCAACACTGTTTACAATAGCATTAACCTGGAACCAACCTAAATGCCCACCGATGATAGACTGGACAGGGAAAAGGGGGCACACATACACCATGGAATACTATGTAGCCATAAAAAACGATGAGTTTGTGTCCTTTGTAAGGACATGGATGAACCTGGAAACCATCATTCTCAGCAAACTGACAGGAGAACAGAAAAGCAAACACTGCATGTTCTCACTCATAGACAGGTGAACAATGAGAACACATGGACACAGGGAGGGGAGCACCACACACTGGGGTCTGTTGGGGGGTACTAGGGGAGGGACAGTGGGGTGTAGGGAGTTGGGGAGGGATAACATGGGGAGAAATGCCAGTTGTAGGTGATGGGGATGGAAGCAGCAAGCCACGTTGCCATGTATGTACCAATGCAACAATCCTGCATGTTCTTCACATGTACCCCAGAACCTGAAGTGCAATAAAATATATATTTAAAAAAAGAGAGAGAGAGAGAATGCCTTTCTCTTATTTGAAGCCTGCAAGCTTGTAATTTGTCAAAGCAGCCTTTGCAAATGAACACAGGCAGTGGACCCAGATCATACCAGGAGGGGATGGAGGAGTGAGCAGGGGAAGAGAGGCATCCCATATCAGGTGTGTTCAAGAGACATTACCGCCTAGGCAACTGCGAGTCCCGCCAGCCTGGGAGCTCTGGGACACTGGATGGAGCACACCTCAGAATGGTCCTAAGCCTGGGCAAGGAAGCCAGGGCACATAACCACTAACTCCCTCAGTCATTGCTGCACCTGCTCCTGGTGTGAGAACACCTGGAACGTCCAGCCTACCCTGGGCTAGGACTGGTCTGCCCTGGAAGGGTGGGACAGCCACAGCATCTGCCAGCAAGTGGGCTAGAGGCAGGGCTGTCTCATTCATTAGGGAACTTCATTGACTGAGCAGTAGCCATGGGCCAGGTACTGGTCAGGGCGCCGGTTTCCAGGGTTGAAGGTTATAGACAAGAATCCTGCACTCACACAGCTTCCATTATAGTGGACTGGGAGGGATGGTGCACAAGGCCACTGCAGGAGAGACAAGAATGTACTGAAAGCAGGATGATGTGAAAGAGGGCCGGGGCTGTGAGCTGAGGCATTTATGATAAGAAGTCCACAGGCAAACTCGGGATAAGAATGCTCCAAGTCAGAAGCAAGTGGACTTAGCCTCAAAGAGGCGGGGGCGCAAGCAGGTGGGTGGCATGGACGCAGTGTGTGTGCAGACCCTCTGAGAGTTCCTCAGCAGGCCTCCCTGCCTAACACAGTTCAGCAGTTTCCCACTTATTTAGAGCAATGGCTGGGTGCTTACACCCCACAGAGGACATTTGGCAGTGTCTACAGACAGTTTGGGTTGTCGCAACCTGGCAGGAGAAACGTGATACCAGCGTCTCATGGGCGGAGCCAGGGATGCTGCTGAACATTCTACCATGCACAGAACAACCCCTCACCAAAAGGATTATCCAGCCCCAGAGCCCGAAGGGTCAGGGTTGAGAAACCCAGTCTTGGAATGCAGGCAATACCCTCGCCCCTGTCTTACAAAGCTATACGTATTCGACTCTGCTGGCACCTCATACCACCTTGTTCAAGCCATGTGGGCTTCTCAGAGCTTCAAGCATGCCAGGATCTTGCCTACCACTGAGCCCTTCCCTGAGGCCCTCTTTCTTCCAGTCTTCCTCGGCCGATTCTTTATCCTTCAGGTCTCAGCTTGGAAGCCACCTCCCAGCAGAGGCCTCTTCTGGCTGTTGTATGAAATATTTGCTTCCCCTTCCAATAGCCACGTTCCCTCACTGGTCATCTTCGAAACCCTTAAACACCTTTTGAGCTTCTCATCTATTTACTTGTCCCTCATTTATTACAGCTGCCTATTAGAATGAGGGCAGGACTTGTCCGGACTGTTGACCACTGAATCCAGCTACTAGCACAGTTCCTGGCTCATGGTGGGTGCTCAGTGGATATCTGGCTAATGAATGAATGAACCCTGCCCTTGAGAAGGGCATATACATCCTTTGCTAAATGCAAGAGTATCAGCTCCCAAGGCCATGGCAGCCCTCCCAGGGTTAGAATGCCCACAGTGGCACAGTGCTGGACCCAGGAAGTGCTTATTCTCCTTCATGATATGATATGATGTAACTTTGCATTCGCTTTCTGCTCTGTGGGATTTCATGTCACTTTCTCATCCATCTAGGGAGGCTTCTCTAGTCTCAAGTGGAACTGAGACTGTCATTTTGATTCTGTGTCCTCCAAAGGGGGCTAATGCTCATGAAGCCACAGAGCCAGCTGGAGAACAAGTGTTCCATAGATCTGAATGCTGTGCACAACCTTACAGGAATGTTTGAAAACAATTTCATGGAAAGCTGGCAATATCGCCCAAAAGCATGACCTTAGTTGGGGAAAGCTGTTTTACTTGGACCAATTAAGGGAAACTGTTCAACATCATCTGTTTGATATTTTACTAGGCAAAAACAAATGAAAACATCTTTCAATACAGGAAACTGGTTACTCAAGGAAAATTTATTTTTCCCCACTTAAGAGAGAGTGCTGAGAAGACATTTTTGTTTCTCCTTCTTCCCAAAATACCATATACATGATATCAGAGAAATTTTCCATAAAGAATAGACCTTTAACACCAAGGGGATTGAGAAAAGATAGCAGTGAATGTGCTATAAATTTCTCCTTCCCCTCTTCTTTCTCCTAACCAGAGGTAGTTGGACCCTTTATCCCTAGGCATGGGAGCACAAATGTACAGACACACACACATACACATAATTTTCTCTAAAGAAATTGATTAACTGTCTGGGGATAAATGGGGCATAATAACTCCTTTAAGTCTTTGGGTACCTAAAGGCCAGCTCACCAGCTGCTTTCCTGAAGCAAAGTCAGCCTATGGAAAAGCTCCACCACCCACCTAAACCTGTAGTCATAAAATTTCCCATCAGGAGACACCTAGCAAGGGGAAACAAAGGCAGAGGAAACCGAAAACCCAACCCGGTTGCCTGGGGTTAAATACAAATGGGTCTGGAGACAGATGAACAAAACCAATGGCATGAAAAAGCAAAAATCAGAGAAACAAACAAACAAAAAAAAAAAACCTGCCTCTGGAAGAAACAGATGCTAGTCAAAGAAGGAAGGAGAATTTAGGAGGGGAAAAAAAAACTCTGATACGGCTTGGCTGTGTCCCCACCCAAATCTCATTGTGAATTGTAGCTCCCATAATTCCCATGTGCTATGGGAGGGACCTGGTGGGATGGGAGATAACTGAATCATAGGGGCGATTTCCCCCATACTGTTCTCATGGTGGTGAAGAAGTCTCATGACAGCTGATGGTTTTATAAGGGGTTTGCCCTTTCTCTTAGCTCTCATGCCCTCTTGTCGGCCACCATGTAAGGTGTGGCTTTCACCTTCCACCATAATTGTGAGGCCTCCCTACCCACATGGAACTGTGAGTCCATTAAACCTCTTTTTCTTTATAAATCACCCAGTCTTGATTGTGTCTTCATCATTAGTGTAAAAACAGACTAATACACTAATTAATATTAGTATCCTCAGAGAGATTCAAAAATACATTGCACCCATGTAAAAAGTGATTCTTTGAAACACTCAGAGAAAAAGAGCTTGTGGAAATTAAATATATGAAGGTATGGTAGCCAAATTTAAAATTCAAAAGAATGGCTGAATGGTAAAGATGACAAAAATTCCCACAATAAAGATAAAAAGGCAAGAACATGGAAACTTTGAGTGAAAAGAAAAAGAAACATAGAGAATTGGTACAAGACATTCCATTTTCACCTACATGAATACAGTAAGGAAAAACTAAGAATAAGAGGACATTGTCAAAATGAAGGAGAAAAAGAAGAAAATTATCCAAACTGATGAGAAATTTGACTTTAAAAGAACCCTCAGCATCAAACAGAACATATGAATAAAGATCCTCATTCAGATGCATTATCCCAGAATTTCAGAGCACTAAGAATAAGGACTATATCAAATAAGTTTCCAAAGATAACAAGATTCAGACAAACATGAGGTCCAGGTAGCCTGTGTTCAAATCCTGGCCCTCACCCATGACAGCTGTATGGCTGGGCCAAGTCTTTCTGGAGCTCATTTTCTTCATCTGCAAAATGGGGATTATGGCAGTATTAGAAAGTCGTTGTGAGGAGGAAATGAATCAATTTAGTTAAAAGACAGGGCCTGAAGCCAATCACAATCAACGCCATATGTTCACTTATTATTGTTAGTCAAGAAAAAAAAGCAACTAAGAAGAGAAGTCAGTAATTATTTGTCATCGACATTATGATGATCTCTGCAGCGTTCATTTCACTCCCTTCACAGTGGAGCAACTATGTAACTTAAAGTTGGACATGGGTGTAACTCCATCCCTTGCCTAAACAAGGATCTGTATCCCACCAAACCACTAATTAGTTCTGGGATGCCTACATTTATCCAATAAGAGGAAAACTCCAGGCTTCTGCCTCTGTGGCTAGAGCAGGAAATGCTTTCCTTCTGCTTTCTCTCTGCTGTAGACCCCAGAAGCTGCTGGTCACCTAAGAGGAAAGTCATCACAAGGCATGGACAAAGCCCAGAGCCATGATCCCACCATACCTGAAGTCCACACAACCATCCTATTTTTTAATGATGTGAGCCACTAAGCTCCCTTTCTTGTCTGAACTCATTCGAGTTGGGGTTTTTGTTCCGTCCATCCAAAAGTGCCCTCACTGATACATTCTAGGCTAGAGCCTCCAGACTAAGCCCAACCTTGCACCAGGTGTTACCTCAATGATGTATAACAATAACAGGCCTTTGGATGAAGCAGTGAGGGAGGAGAAATTCAGGGTCACGATCAAGACCACAGTGAAGGTGAGGATGTTGATGAGGACATCCATTCTTAGCACTAACCACCGGTGAGTACAGTTGAAGCAGAAGAGGTGACAGGAGTTCTTGTTGTCTAGCCTCTCAACCCTAAAATCAAGAAAATCAGAAAAAGCAGATCAGGTTGTGCTTCTGCAGACTTAGGGTTAGGGTGACTGGAGAAATAAGGCCAAGGACTTTTTAATTGAGGGGAATGTACTCTCACATAGCAGACTCTTACAAAAACGAACATAGATCCATACTCTTAAAATCTGCCACGTTAGTCATCTTTGATTTGCACAGATTTGGGGAAATCTCATGTGGCAATAGAGTAGGGCACTAAGTGACTCTTTCTGTCTTTCCCAGAACTGGTAGCTAGAACCCACAGCCGAGAAGAAAAGGTGCTGAGTGCTTCACATTCTAACTCCGGAGGATCTGTATTGTGGAGTCAGCCTCACCTCAAAGGCCTTGTGGAATTGACAATTGGCCCCCTCGATCTATAGAAAGGATGAGGCAGGTTGTGAAGGAGGTCACCTTTAAGCAAGTCAATGTTTGTGACCATAGAGGAGGGAAGGGAGGGTTCATGACAGATTTCCCTCCCTGAATCAGAGAAAGAAGATTGAAGACAGTTGCTTATAAAGCTGGGAGCCACTTCAAAGGGAGGAAGCTGACACCTTGCATCCCTGCTGCACATCCATGGAGCCAAAGGGCTTGGAGATGGGGAAAGGAGCAAGAGAAGAGTGACAGGGAGATGACACAGCCAGGGGACAAGGGCAAGATGCACCCCTGGAGTTCCTCATTCCCCATGTGTGTATGAATGGCGGTTGAATATGTATGCTGTATAGCTACGTGATAGAAACAGAGCTGTATTTGGAAGAATATTTTGACTAAGCTCTGGGGAAAATAAGTTAGAGTTGAAACAGAGAGGAGGAGAGGGCAGTGGAGTCCAGGGAGGCTTGTCAGAGGGTCTTTCAGGCAGAATTTTGGGAGGACTTTCAGGACAGCATGGAGCAGCAGTGCCTGAGGACGTTCACTATGATGCCCAGGGGAGAAACTGTACCTGGCAGAGTCATGATGTATGGAAGGCCGATCCCATCAGCTCCATAGTTCCTAGGGCCGAGAGAGCAGAGGGAAGATGACATTGGAGGCTGTAGTCGTAATTCCATGGTGTCTGGCACGAAGCAAAGGGGCCTCCACATCAGAGGAGTGCCGAGTGAGGGCTGCCAGGCAGAACTCAGAGGAAGACCCAGCCACTCTTACCAATGCAGCAATGCCAGCAGAACTGCTGGGGATCTGGCCCTGCTGGGGCCTCCAAGCTGCCATCCCACATCTGCACAGCACACTACAGCAGCAGGAAAGGGTAGCAGAAAGGGGAAGATGGCCCAGAGGTGCCAACTAGTCACCTGAGGATGTGTTCTTCCTGCAGTCTCCTCCCCAGTTCCCCTGCATGGCCATCAAAGAGCCAGGCTTGGAGAAAAGGAAGAGGGTGTTTAAGAGCACAAAGCAGGTGCTTCTCAACTGCAAGCCTGCCCCACCCATCACACACACACACACACAGACACACACACAGCATAGCCTTGCCACACCAAGCCTCTGTGGAAGAGACCTGTGTCTTGAATACATTCAAGATTGACATTTTCACCACACTGAGCTGACCATTAACCAAAAGACACATCAAATTCAATTGCCACTATGGCTTCCCTGATCTAGTAGGGAAGGGTTTCGTGAGAACAGCTGACAGAAACTATTGGGGGGAAAACGAAAACCTTCTCATGCTTAAAGCCCTAAGGAGGTACAATTCCTCCCCTGGCATCGTTGAGAATGTCTGCAGGCACTGCTGCTCCATGCTGTCCTGAAAGTCCTCCCAAAATTCTGCCTGAAAGCCCCTCTAACCAGCCGCCCTGGGCTCTGCCACCCTCTCCTCCTCTCTGTTTCAACTCTAACTTATTTTTCCCAGAGCTTAGTCAAAATATTCTTCCAAACACGGTACTGTTTCTACCTCGTTGCTATACAGCATACAAATTCAACTGATAGCCTCCACGACCTGGAAGTCACCTGTGGTCTTATCTGTGTGGTTGGTTGGATTGCACAGCAACAAAATCACTATCTGGAATAAAACTGGAATTTTCCTTCTAACCTTTTTACATTGTTTTAAGCTGTAGCGTTTTTGTCTGGTGGCAAAAGCAATACACGTCAGAAACCCAAGCCCTGTGGAAAAAAAAAACACTGAAAGAAGGGAACCCCCAGCAATCATTCTTGGCTCCCTAGAGGATTCTCTCAGAAATCTTGGAGGAGAAGCTGTGGGAAGACAAAGCTTGCATCTGTGTTTGTCGTGGGTGAGTAGGCTCCATGGATTTTACTCATGGCCAGGACATTGGAAAGGTCTATGCGTGAGGCAGGACTCTTGACAAACGATGTTCAGGTCAAACTAGGGTCAGGATTAGGTGCTGACTGAACTAAAGACAAAGTGTCTTTAGTTTCAAGTCTACTCCGAGATCCTGGGTGGTGAAATGGAGGGAATGTGTGTCAGAGAGAATTAGATGCAATTCTAAATTTAATGCAATGCCAGGCCAGGTGCAGTGGCACATGCCTTTAATTGCAACACTTTGGGAGGCCAAGGTGGGTGGATCACTTGATATCAGGAGTTCGAGAGCACCTGGCCAACGGGTGAAACCCTGTCTCTACTAAAAATAAAAAATTAGCTGGGCATGTAGCCCCAGCAACTCGGGAGGCTAAGGCAAGATAATCACTTGAACCCGGGAGATGGAAGTTGCAGTGAGCCGAAATCATGCCATTGCACTCCAGCCTGGGTGATAGAGTGAGATATATATTATATGGTTTTTTATTTTTTTAATAAATTTAATGCAATTCCAAACTTAGAATGCATTACATGCACCCTTTAGAACTGCATCTAATTCTCTCTCTGAAGGGTGTGTTAGCTTTTTAAGGAAGGAAAAGATAGAAAATCTATGTGGAAAAGGCCGCTATGGATTCACCAAACTCCATTTTCTTTTCCTCCTGTGGACACAGCTGGACTACATTTCCCAGCCTCCCTTTCAGTCAGGGGAGCCCATGCGACTCCAATGTGGCCAATGAATGTGCAGAAATCTTGGGATGCTTTGCTAGGTTTGGACCATTAAATTCCCCATGGGTCCTCCTTTCTGGCCTTTCCCCTAGTCTCAACACAGAGGATCCGAGAGAATACTCCAGGGCCCTTGGGACAGAAGAGATGGAAACAGACGCTGCCTGAGTGTGGAGTAGAATCCCCTACCCTTGCTCCATGGACCCTCACTAAATTGTGACATCAGGAAAAATAAAAATTTGTTGTATGAACTCCCTAAGATTTGGAGTTGTTGTTACTGCAGTGAGCCTACTATAATTAATATATATATATATATATATTATATGTGTGTGTGTGTTTGTGTGTATACACAAATGTAAATACATGTGTATATGTGTGTGTGTATATATATTTTTTTGAGATGAAGTTTCACTCTGTCACCCAGGCTGGAGTGCAGGGGTGCAGTCTCAGCTCACTATAACCTCCACTTCCCGGGTTCAAGCGATTCTCCTGCCTCAGCCTCCTGAATAGCTGGTGTTACAGGTGTCCACCACCATGCCCAACTAATTTTTGTATTTTTAGTAGAGAGGGTTTTGCTACATTGGCTGGGCTGGTCTCCAACTCCTGAACTCACATGATCCACCCACCTCGGCCTCCCAAAGTGCTGGGATTACAGGCATGAGACACTGTGCCCAGCCTGATTTATACATTTTATGGCATATTTTAGAAGTTTGATGCTGGAAGATGCCAGAGAGATTTACTAACATAGTCCACATATTTTGAAAAGAAGAAAATGCTAAGTGAAATGATAGGTGGCCTTTAGAAATGATAAGGAACATGTAATAACATAAAACAAGTTATTTCAAACATTTAAATAAATGTAAGAAATGATTATAAATACTTAAGAAGAAAAAGAAGACTCCATGAATAGAAAAAGAGAAAAAACCTGGAAGGAAATTTATGAAAAAATTAATAGATTGTGTTGGGGGGTGCTGTAAGTGATTTGTTTCTCCTTTGCCCTATCTTCCTGAATCGAATACATTTTTACTCTAAGAGTAAAAAATAGAACAAATGAGGTTGTCATTGAACAAGCTCCCCTCATTCACATCTGCTGAGGCCCCAGATGCTGGAAGAGAGGCCATGAGGCCAAGTGTCTTCAAGGACTCCTGATTCTTCAAGCCCTTTATCTGCAGGCAGTCCCCAGCAGCCCAGACTTCCCTTCTTCTGTGCCCTCCCCATTGGAGTCAGGCATGAAGCGTGGGGGCCTGGGGCAGGGCCACACATGGGACTCACTTGGTGCTATAGTTCTCCTTCTTGCCATAGGCGTGAATGATGCCCAGGCCCTCCATGGAGGAGGAGATATGGGAGAACCAGGGTGACCAGCTGACTTTCTCCACCTTCTTGAGGTTTTGGACTCCTCTGTGGAAAATGCTGGAAGAAAACTGAGAGAGGCCAAGTGGGCCACAAAGTGAGGTCTCATCAGGCTTGCCCTCGCACATACAGAGACAACTAGGCACTCAGCACAGTGCTTAAGTCAGAAGTGGTGCCATCTAACTGGAGATGAGGAGTAGGCCTGCCATTCTGCAGCAGTGCCCATCCCAGGTGTGGGAGTGGCTGGGGCGTGAGAACCGTGAGTCTGCTGCGCCTTCATTTTGCCATAATGCTAAGTGTTTCTTGTATCAGGAAAGTCTCGCTCTACAAGGCATGATTCTAGTCTTCAAAGACCAAAATTTCTCTCATACAGTGCAGCTCCTAAATATCAGCCAACCACTTTTTGGTGTTCAGCCAGAGAAAAAGTGATCTGTTCTAACTCTGGAAGAAAACCCAGTGTGTCCATTACCAACATGTGGCCTTCTAAAGGCATTTTCAAAGGTAATTTTGGATGAACATCATCATAGCTGACTTTAAAACCAAACCCCCATGGGATGTAGCTCCTATTCATGTGGAAACTCCAGAAGCCCTGGTGAGCAGGAGACCAGGGACCTCGGGTATGCACAGCAGCTGGCTGGCCCCCAAGAGAGAAGACAATCAAACTTCCAGACTCTCAGCTAAAATGAACCCAGGGCAGCAAGGAGGGAAGCCTCATTAGTGCAGAGCAAAAGTGGGTTGATTGGAAACACTTGGATAGTTCAAGCAGGATGAGGTCTGGTCTGTCTTGTCTTTATAGCTAGAAGGGTGGGTATAGAGCTGAGAAAGAGCTTTTACTAAATAAATCAACGGCATAAACAGGAGGACAGACAGAAACAACAATCAAACACAGGAATGACAGAAAGGAACATGAGCCCAAAGAATCCATGGTAAGAATGACATCCAGGACTTGCTTTTATCCTGTAAATGACTCAGAAATTATTTGTATTTGGTCACCACAATAAACCCTTGAGTTTGGTGACTCAGACGATTTCATTTTGAGGCAGAAGAATAGAGTCTGGAGGCAGGGAACCTAAGGCCAACTCACACTGACTTCCTAGAACTAAATCAAAATGAAACCCCCAACATTTCCTGCCTAAGTAACAAAAGGATCAGAAGCTACTCCCCTTGCAAAGCTACCCTGGCCCTTTTCTGTGTGACAGATGAGAAGCTGAAAGTCCCTCTGATTGGTCCCCTCCCACAACCAAACAAGCCGGTAGCAGGCCAAGTTTGCTTAGTACTAACTTCGTATAGTAGTAACTTCATTTGTATCGCAGTAACTTTGTGACTTCACTTCAGCCTCTGATTGGTCACTTTTTGCCATGAATCAGACTGATCATGGGCCACTACTTCATTTGCATAGGGTGTACACAAAGTAGCCAATGGGAAACCTCTACAAGGTATTTTTTTAAGCCCCAGAAAATTCTGTAACTAAGCTGTTAAGCCCCTATGCTTAGGCCTGCTCCCACTTTGTAGAGTGTATTTTCATTTTTAATCAATCTCTGCTTTTGTTGCTTCCTTCTTTTCTTGCTTTGTTTGTGCGTTTTGTCCAATTCTTTGCTCACAGGTGCCAAGAACCTGCCGATCCTCCGCTGGTAGCAATTTCACTTCCTCGGGGCCACCACAGGGACAGTGAGAGACAGCAGCAAGAGTCCAGCTCTCCCAGCTCCCTAGGGCACAGTGTAAGCTCCCAGGGCCACACCTGCCCTGTCCCTGTACAGAGGCCAGCTCTCCTGCCCCAGTGCATCTCCACATCTGCATTTGCCACTGTCCACGGACACCATCAGCACACTTGTTGAACGGAACTGAAGCATCCAAAAATAAACTCTTAACAACAGTAGAGCCTCATGGTTAGGAACATATCAGCAGAGAAGTGGCAATCATGGTTACCAGTTTCTTGACCTGGGACCAATGCTTTAATTTCCCAATAATTTCCACCTTTCAGGGTTGCGCTGAAGCTAAAATGCCAGATGTAGGCAAAGCACTTAGCATAGCATTTGGCATTTACTAAACACAAAAAAATAATTACTCAGCCTTGTGGATTTTTCCCGATGTTATAAACCCATTTCCAACAAACTTGGGGGCTCATCCATGACTCTGTTCCCCCTCTGGAGCAGTCCTTGGACCTCTCTTGTGGGGAGGTGCCCCTCCGACCTATTTGCAGTGGCCCCAGGGGAGAGAGCCAGGACTTACCCAGTGCAAGAAATAAACCTGGATTCTTAGCAACGCAGCAATACAGACAAAATAGATTCCAAACCATGGCGACCAGAGGCCTTAGCCAGGCAACCTCATGCACAAGCCAAGGTAGGAAACGTTGCAAAGGGACGATGAAGTACTTCCTTGATGGTTGACTTCTGGAGGGTAGAGCGTGTGGGTGAATGTGGTGTTGTTTGCGAATGAGGGATTCTTCCTGGGTCCACAAGGGGCAGGGTTTCAAAGGCAGGAGTTTTCTGGCTCCACCCCTCCATCCAGGAATGTACAGTTCCTTGTCTAGGTTTCCTGTGCTTGGGCTAGGTGGAGAAATGCGGGTGGACTTCTTTGTCCAAAAAGCCTGCTGAAAGCTCTGGGAGGAGGGGGCTCCGTTGTGAACCAAGCAGCCATTCCAGTGTCAGAGTCAAAGATCAATCACTCCAGAAGAAGTTTGAAAGAACTCCTCTCATTGGACAAGAACATGAATGGGAAGGGAATAACTCCAGGGTTAAAACTCTGCTGCTCCTTACCTCTACGGATATCCTTCTCCAGATTCCCCTCCCACAACAGTGTGAGAGCGCTCTTTCTCTCTCTCTCTCTCTGCCTAATAAATCACTCTCTGCAAAACTCTTTGGGTCCATGATGTTTATTCTAATGGTAAGCTCACTGCACCTCCAGGGCCCATTTTCCCATTCTTTGGGGTAAGAGAGGCCAAGGACCTCGGATTGGGAAACTGGGAGCGTCTTTGGGACTCCCCCGCTCCCCCCCCACTCCGCCCCCCTGACCTTGGTTACATGAATGGCAACAAGTCCTACTGCTGGGGAGTGGCCAAGGAGGATGGCATGCATGAGAAGAGTGTAAGGGACCCTCAGAAGGGGGAAGGGAGAAAACAGGCCAACATCCCAGGGCAGAGATGGTGAGAGATTCCCAGCTTTGGGGGTTGAGTCTTCCATAAACAGAACAGGCAAGAGATTCCCAGCTTGGTGGTTGAGTCTTCTGTAAAAACAGAATAGGCAAGAGATTCCCAGCTTGGGGGGGTTGAGTCTTCCATGGCAAATGATAAAGTATTGCTGTTTTATTTGAACTAAAGGACTGATCCTGAAGCCCACAGTTGTCTGGCCAAAATTTGGGTTGGATGGGGATTAAGTCTGTCAACTCTTAAGAAAAAAAGAGAGAGAGAAAGAAAGAAAAAAAATTGACTATGCTCTCTGTTGGCAGCAGGGGCCGTTCTCCTCTATTCATTAAGAGGAGGAGGAAAACAATCAGAGAATAGAATAAAGTCAGGAGCAGTCTCACCTAAAAAGGGTGGCGCTGTTACCCACGAGCAGGCCACATGTAACTGGGACCCTTTAGACCATCTTCCCTCAGTTCCAGCTCCAACTCCTGCTCCCACCATCCCCATTGCACTGCTTTCTCCTCCCTGAGCAGGCTGCTGCCTCAAAACCCAACCCAGAATTCCCTACTCCCCCGTATAACCAGGTTCTTGGGAAAGCACGTCAAAAGCCAGATCATTGCCAGCCTGCATGTTCTTCCTTGAAGAAAGGGCTCTGGCAGGAGATAGAGCAATGCAAAAGATATTCAGAGTTTTCCTTTTCCCTCTTCTTCCAAGGAGTCAGCTTCAGTTTCAAAGCTTTTTTCTTTTTCTCTAAAGAAGATGCCTCAAGAAGGAGGCACAGTTAGTTTTGTGAAGCCTCAAGAAGGAGTTGCAGTTGGTTATGTGAATGCTCCCTTAACTGCTTCGAAGGTCTGGAGTCTAAAGACAGAATTTAAGCCATTATTAGATGATCCAGATTGGGTAGCAGAACAGATTGATCAATTTTTAGGTCCCCAGATATATACTTAGAGTTAATGTCCATTCTAAATATTCTCTTTTCAAGGAAAGAAACAGTAGACTTGGAAAGCAAGAGAGAGAGAGAGAGACAGAGAGTCAGAGAGAGAGTAAGAGAGAGAAATAGTAAGAGAAAGAGACAAAGTCAAAGAGAAGTCAAAGAGAAAGAAAGGCAGAGAGACAGAGAGAGAGAGACAAGGAGGCAAAGAGAGAAGGAGACACAAAGGAGAGAAATTAGGAAGAAGAGAAAGAAATATTAAGAAAGTTATAAATATAAGAATGTGGCTTACACCAGGCATGGTGGCTCATGCCTATAATCCCAGCACTTTGGGAGGCCAAGGCAGGTGGATTACCTGAGGTCAGGAATTAGAGACCAGCCTGGCCAACATGGTGAAACCCCATCTCTACTAAAAATACAAAAATTAGCTGGGTGTGGAGGTGGCTCATGCCTGTAATCCCAGCTACTGGGGAAGCTGAGGCAGGAGAATCGCTTGAACCTGGGAGGTGGACGTTGCATAAGCTGAGATTGCACCATTACACTCCAGTCTGGGTAACAAGAGGGAAACCCCGTCTCAAAAAAGAATCCATCTTTAATAAGGAAAGTTATTAAACAAAGTTAGAAAGTTAAGATTGTAAGATTGTCTCTGATAGTTGTGAAATACATCATAAAAAGGAATTTATGCAAGAAATATTGTATAATTTTTGTTTTGAAAGTGTAAGCACGTTTTGAAATCTTAATTATAAAGGAAATTTGGTGTGTAAACATATCAGCTAAAGTTAAAGAGGTATTATCCAGATTTTCTGTAAACTGGACATCAAAATAAAAGCACAACAGGTTTTTCTTAAATACTAACCTGCTGTTTAACAAAGATTATAGAAAGTCTCCTAGCACAGGCACCACGCCAAGAATTTCCAGTACACCAGTACCAGCCTGGAGACCACCCTTCCTCATGCTGCTAGCCACCAAAACTGCTGTTCGCACAACAGAAAAGAGATAGACACATCACACCCAAGTCAAGAAAGTGCCATCACCATTAGAATCATGGGCTGTTGTTCCGGGATCAGACCATACCGAGTTAAAGCTAAGAAAAGCGTAGTCTATCTAGCTTTCCTTTCTTTTTCTTTTCCTCCTTTAGCCTCCCCGTCTTGTTATTAATGTGATTAGTTCTGGCTCACCTCATGTTGTTGCTTTGATGTCTGTTTAGTTATGACTAGAGATTTGCTTGCTGCTTCGGAACGATGTCTCTGTCCCTCTTAGACTTCCTCATATTAGGAAGATATAATGCGTTCCTCTAAGGATACTAGTATTCCAGGGAATAGTAGCCGTATTTGTGATTGGTATGAATCAGACTCTTGTCCCTCAAAAACAGAATCTCTATGTTCTGCTTAGCCTAATGTCATATGGAACAGCAAAGGGTTAAGATAGACTGCTTCCACAGGTCTTTGTCCATCCTTAAAACTACAAATCCACTTCATCAAAGGAATTACTCCTTCTAGCTGTCAATATAACCAATGTAATCCTATACAGCTACTATTGTTATTGCAACATCTGAAAACTCTTCTCCTTCATTAAGTCATATTTATGGTACAGTACAGGAGATGACATTTCAAGAAAGGGTCCTAAAGAAATTTTTGAAATGTACTTTATTGCTCCTTCAACCTCTTTATCAATCACTCTTCCTAGACATAATGACAAAACCAGAGTCTCAATGGTGGAAGCAGAGGACCTAAGGCAAACCATAGCCATTGAAACCGGATAAAAGGACGCAAATGCCTGGTTAGAATGGATTAAATACTCCGTTTGCGCCTTAAATAAATGCCACTGTTATGGTTGTGTGCACGGTAGGCCAGAGGCCCAGGTTGTCCCCTTTCCACCTGGATGGTCCCCAAATCAAGGAGACATGGATTTCTCAGGATTCCAATGCCTGGAATAACAAATTGTGCCAAGTTCTTCCACTGCTATTTCCTGAGGTTCAACAGCCTGTGGGTCAGCCCCCGAGAGCCATACAGCCTCCATTTCACAAGATGAAGTTTGCCTCATGTCCCTCATGACAGGAGGAGAACTTACTGTTCTTTGGAAACTTAACAGAATGCAGTGAAATCAGGCACTTCTGAGAGCTGGCTCATCAGTCCTCCCTTACTCATCCCTGAATGGATGTGTGGTGGTATCGTAAAGGACCTTTACTGGTACTCTGCCAAATAATTGGAGCAACATTTGCACACTAGTCCAGTTGGCTATCTGTTTTACCCTGGCATTTCATCAATCGGAGAAAGAGAAATTACAACATCAGCAAATAGGAGAAGCTCCTTATAGGTCTTTTGATTCTCGTGTGTACTTAGATGCAAATGAGGTCCCAAGAGGAGTTCCAAATGAATTTAAAGCCCAAGATCAGAGAGCTGCAAGCTTTAAGTCAATGTTGCTCTGGTAGGTAACAATTAATAAAAAAATGTAGATTAGATAAACTACATTTATTACAACTGACAGCGATTTGTTAACTATACCAAAGACGCTGTCAAAGGAATAGCTGAACAATTAGGATCCACTAGCCAGTGGCCTAAGAAAATAGCATAACCCTAAATATGGTATTAGTGGAGAAAGGTGCTGTTTCTGTTATGATTAAAATCTAGTGTTGTACCTTTATTCCAAACAACATTGCTCCCAATGGGAGCATAACAAAAACCCTCCAAGGACCTGCTGCTTTGTCAAATGAGCTAGCTAAAAATTCTGACATCAATAACCCTATTTCAAATTGTTTCAAAAGGTGGTTCGGTCAATGGAAAGAAACCATAACCTCAATTCTTACCTCTCTAAATATTCTTATTCTTGTTAGATGTTGTGTCATACCATGCATCCAAGGACTCAAGTAGAGGGTAGTAGACACAACTCTTACTAAAATATCCCAACCCCTCCTCCACCCTGTTCAGATAGATTACTTCTTTTAGAAGAACAAACAGAAGAACTGAGTCAAGACATGTTAAATAAGTTTGAAGCGGAATTATAAATAGAAAAAAGGAGGAATCACAGAAAATGAGAATAATTAAAAGGTTCCTCTTCAAACTTTCCTCTTAGTTCATTACAAATAAATAATAGTTTCTTCAAAGGTTAATTTACTTAAAGCTTTTGCTGGCCAGGTACAGTGGCTTATGCCTGTAATCCCAGCATTTTGGGAGGCCAAGGCAGGTAGATCACAAGGTCGGGAGTTCCAGACCAACCTGACCAATATGGTGAAACCCTGTCTCAACTAAAAATACTAAAATCAGCAGGGCATGGTGGTGGGTGCCTGTAGTCCCAGCTGCTCAGGAGCTGCTCAGGAACCTGGGCGGTGCAGGCTGCAATGAGCCAAGGTTTCCATTGTATTCCAGCCTGGACGACAGAGTGAGACTCCATCTCAAAAAAAAAAAAAAAAAAAGGCTTTTGCTAATAAACTTAAGGTGGCTGTTAGTCATAATAAAGGAATAAGTGCATCCCGTGTTCTTAGTTCTTACACTTTAACCTAGATATTTGCCCTGACATGCCCAGACAAGCCCAGGCAAGTCTTAGGTCAAAGCTTATTCCCCTTCCTTATTTGAAAATGGTATCGCTGCTCTAAGCATTCCTCAAGTTACTTCCTCTTTTCCTTTGTTTTCCTCTGCATTTACTTCTTCAGAAACTTTCCAGGTTTTTAGCCAATCAGGTCAAGCATAGAATGTGAGATCCCATTCTGACCAATGGAAACTGAATACAGCAGTAGGATGATTGCATCAGGTTATGAAAGTTATAAATGTCCCTGTCTCCCTTGTTCAGGTGTGCTCTCGGGGCAAGACTGCCAGCGAGTTGCACCCTTCCTGCAGGAAGTAAAACTAGCCTTGCTGAGTAATCCATTGTCTCAGTGTGGATTTTCCCAAAGTTACAAACCTGTTTCCAACATAGACCATCAGTGAAGATAGCAAGCACTCAATGCTCAATATCAATATCACCTGATACCCAGTCACTGTGCATAGTGTGTGTGTGTGTGTGTGTGTATGTGTGTTGTTTTCTCCTCTAAATAGCACATAGGCCTACTGTAAGAGAATGAGGAAGCCTCTAGCAACAAAATCACCACAACTATAAGGAAATTAGGTAACACAGCAGCCAACACTATGAGAATAAACACCACCATAGAAAACTGCTGTAGAAAGTCCTCTGCGTGAAATGGCAGCCCCACATCCAGCTCGTCCATATCCTTGGAAAAACGGTTCGTTACCCTGCCAGTAGGAGTCATGTCAAAGAAGCTCAGTGGGATCTTCAAGATCTGTGGAGAACGGTAGAGAGTCAACTGAAGTCCAGGTGCATGCTTAATAAACCCCGCCACTTTGCTGTTGCTGGAATTGTGAGCACAGGGCCTGACCTTTTTTCCAGGGCACAACACAGTGTGTCAGGTGACCTCGGGAAATGGCGGACGCACTATAATCTTGTGGCCACCATGAATAAGCGTGAATGTGGGGGAGAGTCAGTCTCTGTGCAGAGATCCCGAGAGAACCCCTATAGGTCAGTCCTCCCGTCCAAATCTGGGATGCAGCCTGAGACGGGAGAGGCTGATGCCTTTGTCAGAGGAAGGAATTTTGTGCCCCGTGCAATAAAATGCCAAGTCCCACTTTGTCTCTTTACCTCCAAAGTGTGGGCCCCACCCATATGCTCTAGCCATGGCCCTCTGAGCCCGTGGCTGCCACCCACCACAGTAGTGAAATGCGGAGGGGGCTGGAAGGACCTCTTGTCACACTCAGGGCTCTTTGGAGCAGGAGATGCTTTCTTGGCCTGCACATCTCTGCTGCAGCATGGCCTCCCCTGCCTCCACCGCCAGCCCAGGCTCAGGGCTGCTGATCCACCCCCACAGCTCCCTGGAATCTACCTTCAGTTGGTAATTTGCTATTTCGGACACCCTTCCCAGTCTAGACCGCAAGATCTATGAGAGCTGTGGCTGTTCCCAGACCCCAGCACCGTGCCTGGCACACAGCAGGTGCTCTGTAAACTTGTTGACTAAGTAACAGGGCTCACCTACAACGCTTGTGCCATACCTTACCAAACACCATGTCATACAGTGAGAAGAATGCCATCAGTGTGAACTTAGTGAAGGTAAAGCCTTTGGTGTCACCAAACACCAGCACGGACACCATGCTTGCAGCGTACACCCATGGTACACATGCTGCCTGATGCCTGCCAGCACTGCACCAATCTCACACATGGTCATGTTGCCCTGGGGCCCACAGATCACCTTTGGAGAAAAGCAAGAGAAGCACCAAGAATTGATAAACTGTCAGGAGAACAGGAATTTTCCAGAGAACCTTTCCAGAGAGAAGAAATTAGAAAGAAGTATATGACTGTTTTGAATGAGTCACGTGGGTACAATTGAGTCTGTTCCCTTCCCGAGTCTCTGAGCTTTGTGTGTTCCTCCTGCTGGCACTCATGACCCCAAGGGGCACCTGACTTGTGAGTTCAGCACAGTCAGTGGGAACAACAAAGCACAGAAACCAGGTGGTAGCCGGGCAGACATCCCCAAAGCTCACTGCGCCTCCAGAGACTAGGAGCAATGCTGGGCAGGGAGGAGCAGAGAGGCAAACCGGGAATCATAATTCCATGATGCTGGAGGAGTAACCCTCAGGCAGCCCAGAGCGGACAGAGGAATGGACCTTCAGCGTGCTGAGCTGTGTAGCAGCAGCCACCAGGCCTTCGGGGCGACTTGGGGGGCTTCTGTGTGTGACAGGCCAGCTCCACAGTTCCTTCCCTTTCTTTCTCCCAAGGGGTAACTTAGAGGGTATACTGCCCTGGGGTCTTTGCTGGAGAGGATACCCAGTGAATACAAGTGGCTCTCAGAGGATTCAAAGGATCTGTGGCTCTGTCCTGCCCAGTGAGAACACACAATTTTGCCAGCATTTCTGGGGAGAGGGCATCTCCTCGACCTGAGAAATTGGCCGTTTCATTTTTCTCTGCTCTGTGTGCTAAAAGTCAAGACTGCCCATGGGGAGCAAACAAGCATCTTTCTTCTAAATGCCATTTTGCTGATTACAGTCATAATGGAAATGTAATCCAGAGGTGGCTGATGGATAAACATCCTTAAAAGCAAAAGTATCTCTGGGGAGCTGAAGGCCCAGCTTGAAGAGGAGACATTCCTGTGCCTTTGATTGTGCCGGGGCACCAGGGCCAAACATGCAGTTCAGCCACCATGGCAGTGTGCTTAATCAGCCAAGGGCAGTGGGACTCCTGGGGTAGCACCAAGCCTGGGAGGAGGCTGCATCTTGACCCGAAAACTCAGGCTCTCCAAGGACAGCACTCTTGGTGAGGTAGGATGTGGGAGAATATGTCTATTCCAGAGATAGGTCTCTATTTCTGCACAGAGCAGGCCACCCATTGGCCTCTCACCCTGGAATTAGCTTCAGAAAGCTGTGCCCAGCAGCCTCTCCCCTGCCCCTGTCTCCCCAGTGCCACCTCTTTTTGGTTGTCATAGCAATGGAGCTGTACCAAATGTAATCATAGAGGATGGGCTGGCACTCCCACAGCATTCCCCAGGGCTCCAGGAAAGCTTTGAGACCATTGACCAAAAGCTGGGAGAGCTCCAGAAAGCTCGAGAGAGAGCAAACACATCAGTTCTTCCCAGGAAGGGCCCTGCAGAGAAGTGACCCCCATGGCTACATGGCAGTTGCTGGGCCTGAATCTAATGCTTGCCCATCCTGTTCATGCAGAGAGGACTTTGGGGAGAAGAGCCACGTGGGACCTTCTGGCACCAGGCAGAGTCTGTAACAAGATGCCAGTTTCTCTTTAGGAAGACACAAATCTGTGTTAAGCTTTAAGCTTTCCTGGAGGAAACTTCAGAGGCTGTGAAACTGAACCAATCTTGTATGTCCCTGATTCCAGACATGCTGGGGCACACATCTTCTTTAGGCAGCCCTTTAAAATCCGACACTCGTACCTAAAAGTATAGACACCCTGCTTGTCTTGCAAAATCAAAGAGGATTCCAGGGATTTGAGTCCTGTGGTATAAGCATCTGACCTCCACTTGTTGAAAAGGGCAGAGGGGTGCACGTGGGCTCATGGCATGGTGGTGGAGGCAGTCAGATGCTCTGGCAGCAGCGTTTTACTCCAAGACACAGACTTGGCATCTTCCAATGCCAAAGGGAAACTCACCTGTGAGCCCTTGTCACAAGTTACTGAACACAGAGCTGCCGATCATCAGGAGGAAGAGGAACACAGTGACGAGAGAACGGAGGTGCCCTGCAAGAGGAGGGGAGAGGCCCAGGGGGCTGCAGATGTGAGTGCGTGGCAGAGGCTGACCTTCCTCAGGACCCAACCATGGTGGGAAATTCAAAGCCTGCAGGAAAAGGACCCCCACACCTGGAAACCACCTGTTAGGCTAGTGTGGCACATCTGGGTGTTGAGGCCCTGAACCGTGGGGACAGCTGTTCTACCTGGTTGGAAAATGGGTCCAAACAGTGAACATACCTGAAAAACCACCAGTGTGCACTTTAATAGAACTAACTCACTAGTCTTTAAAAAGAAACCAAGGAAGGCTGGGCACGGTGGTTCCCGTCTGTAATCCCAGCACTTTGGGAAGCCAAGGCAGGCAGATCACCTGAGATCAGCCTGGCCAACCTGGTGAAACCTGGTCTCTACTAAAAATACAAAAATTAGCCAGGCATGGTGGTGGGTGCCTGTAATCCCAGCTACTCAGGGGGCTGAGGCAGGAGAATCACTTGAACCTGGGAGGCGAAGGTTGCAGTGAGCCGAGATCACACCATTGCACTCCAGCCTAGGCGACAGAGCAAGACTTCATCTCAAAAAAAAAAAAGGAAAAAGAAAACCCAGTCTCACTAGAGAGAGACAGGGAATGAAGCTACAGGCATGCTTTGCACAGTGAGATGAGCATTTAGTATGGAAGGCTGGCAACGGACTGGCCACTGCTGTATGGAGCCACTGGAGTGCAAAGGGTATGGTTCATGCTACTGCTCACTCCACTCCAATAAAAGAGTCTGGCAGCTTTAATGGAGGTAAAGAATGATTCCATTTAAAAGGCTGTATTATCAGACGTTAGTTTTTAGGAGGGGAAAAAATAAAAGCATTGATAGATGGCCCTAGCGTAAAGAGGGTAATTGTTAAAGAAATCATAAAACGTGAACCCAACAGTTTAAGACAGGATTTTTAAAATGCAAATTAAATCAAGATAGCTGTTGTTTTATATCAAACCTCCAGAAGCCTTAATGTATTTGTCACATGTTTTCCAGGTGACACAGTTCCTTCCTAGGGGGATTCAGTCTGGATGAGCTGGTGCGCAGGAACTGTGGAGACGAACACATGTGCCATGGCACTCACTGCTGAGGCAGGGGCCCATCGAGGCAGGCACAGCCCCTCTTGGACTCCTCAGCACCACTAAAAGGACTGTGACACGTCCTTCTACTTGTCCCACGCTCTCAATTTCCAACACTTTTGCTCATTTAGTGCTACTTGGTCCTCAGTACAGCCCTGTGAAGTAAGCTTCTGATCTCTTGAGAAATATTTATTAAGCACCTACTATGTGCTCAGCCCTGGGAATGCAAGGGTTGTCTTGGTATAGTTCCCGTAGAAGCAGCACCCAAGAAGAGCCTATGAATACATGTGGCTTATCTGGGAGCCAAATGGAGTAAAAAAGGGAAGGCAACAATAAAAGGCATGTCACCAAGCCAGTGACCACTGTGAGCCACTGGGGCTTCATCCCATGTGGAGAAATCTCAGAACCAGAACAGACACACACTCAGGGCTTTTCCACGTGATGATAGAGATCTGGGATTTTTCTATACTGATTCCTATCAGCCATGGGGTGAGGGCCACTCCCTGGGTAGGGCTGTTAATTCCCCAGAACTTCCAGCTTGACATGTAGCTGGTATCTCCTAGAAAGAGCCCCCAGGCAAAGGAATGCAGAGGTGGGATTTGGGAGGGGGCTTGGCATGCTAAAGAGGTAAGGGCACCTGTGTCATCTGCTGCAGAGTAAGCAAGAAAAAGGCAGGTCCAATGTTCTCAGAGTTCACGCCATGCAGAAGAAAACCAGCGTATCCCCCTAGGTCGGCTGCTGCATGGATACCTGATTCCCCTGATGTCTGTCCCAGGTCCTTTCCATTCCCCAAGGGGAAGGGAAAGTGACGGTCAAGTTCTCATGGAAACACAATTTTGGAGGAAAGAGATGTTGGCTAAACAGCTCCCAGGAGCCAGTACTGAGTGCAGCTCTCTTCTGCTTCTCCACAGAGAAACATGAAAATATCAGCTCCAAAGCAGAATCATACACCGTACTTAGCTTTTATAAACAGCGATAAATAGAGTTAGAAGAGGGGGCACCCTGCATATGGACTCTGTGCACCCTGGCCCACCAGAAACATTTTCACACCTCAAAGGCACCTTGCTGAATAGAGCCACCATTATACTTGCTGCCTGGGAACCTGGAGCTCCTTTGAAAATGTTCAGCCCGACTTCAGCTCATTGTGTCTCCCTCTGAAACTGCAAAATGAGGGAGATGCCTCAGCATGTGGGCAGATCTTAATGAACGGCATCCGGGAGCACAAAAGGAGCTGGTCATGTCCCCTTGCAGCCCGCAGGCCAGGGCAGTGTGCTGCTGATGCTCTGTTTGCCTCGGCTGTGCCTTAGAAGATGCTGTGATGCCAGGCAGGTGGACAGTGTTGTCTGTAACCGGTTCGCGAGTGCCTCCCCTCCTCCAGCTTTCACAGCCTTTGATAGCCCAGTTGTCTATCATTGAGGACCTGGTCTCTCTCCAGGGTGAAATTTCACAATTACACTTTCCTCTCCAGTGAAGGGTGAGTGATTAAGTGAGCAGCAGGGATTACTCTCTTCACGGAACCCCAAATCCCGGGCAGCCTGGGGGTTTCTCCAAAATGCACAGAAGAGATATCTGGGTACTTGAGCCCTGGAAGCCTCTGAAAGACAAAAATTTGTTGTCTTTCCGAATGTGCATGCATTCATCACAAGTGCCATTGAGGATGCCAGATCTCATCGATTCGAAGCCTCACTTCTTTCCCCCACATTGTACCAGCTCTGGAATCTGGATGTGCCTTCCATTTTCTACTATGTCATGTCATTCAATTAGCAGAGGTTATTTTTTCTTTCCAAGTGGGAGGTCAAATGGTGGTGGCATTAAAAAATGGATGGCGTCTTAAATGTAACAAAATGTGCTAAGTTTTTTTTTTTTTTTTTTGACTGTGCATTATTGAGGAACAGAACTCTAACTTGGAAAGCCACTTTGCTGTGTGTACTCTGAGGACTATTAACCCCATCCTCTCTGTGTCCACCACAGGGCAGGGGACAGAGTGGGTGCTGTGAGGATGTGGAGTGAATGAAGGCAGGGTATCTAAGGAGGAGAAGAGGTGACCTGACCAGCTGGCTCTCACCAGGCTCATCTTCCACATCTCACCTCCCCACCTCCCTGGAATCTCTTCCTGCCCTCAGCCTCAAGCCCTCCACCCTTTCCCACCTTCTCACTGCAGTGTCCCCAGCAAAATCCTGTACATGCTTGAAGGACCAGTCCAAAGGCTGCCCCGCTGTGAAGCCCTCCCTGACGTGTGTTTCTCTCACCCAAATTCCCCATTACTCTTACTGGTTCCCCACAGTTACCCATCTGCCTGAGTCCGCACCAGACCACAAGAGAGAACATGGGCCTCTCTTCTTGCTCTCCCTAGCCCAGCTTAGTTCCAGGCACACAGTTAATGCTTAGCCTTTATCTGTTGAAAGAATGAATAACCTTGTCCCACCTCGATCCCTTCACGGCTTCATAATCCGTTCTCAATGCTCCCCATAAAGAGTGGGAGACAGCTCTTGGGTCTGCCTTTACCTCTAACTAATCCCTGTACATTAACTCGATCTCTCCAGCTCATAATAACTATTGAGCATCACTGTGTGTCAGGCACTGTGTGAAGCACATTATGTATATTTTCTCATTTAATCTTTACAAGAAACTGTGGTTGGTACTATTTCCTCATTTTGTGGATCAGGAAGGTAAGTAAGGTTCAGAGTGGCCAAGAGTCCTGCTCAAGCTCACAAAACTAGTAAGTGGGAAAGCCAAAACTTGGACTTTGGCAGTGGAGCCCCAAGGCGCACACTATCCTAGACCATCCAATTCTAGCTACTCAAAATGCCACGCACAGTGTCTACACTGTATGTATCCCAAACAGTAGATGCCCAACACATCCTTAAGCGTATGTGATTGAGGGAATGAGTAGTAAATATCTTTTCTGTCTACAAATTCTGAGCCTGTTTCAGATTCTTTTCCTTCATCTTTCTCATTTCATATAGCCAAAACTAGGGTGAGAAAAAAAGACAGATCAGTGTCCATTCAAGCCAAGGACAGTAAGAAGGATGGGATTCTAACCGATCATACCAGCATCTTCCTCTCTCTCGGCAGGTTCTCCTTGAAGGCTTCCACCTTTGCTTCATTATGAAGGTGTTCAGGATCCTGGAGACAAAATGAAATTCCTTCTGAAAGCTAAGTGACAGGACCTCTCCCAGGCAGAAAATCCCAAGGGGTTCCTCCCCAGTCCCTCCCACACCTGCCCAGGTGTGAGTTACCTTGAGCTGCAATCCTCGCAGGTCGTGAATCAGTTCTGCATAATGCCCTCTCTCCTCCATTAACTCCTTGTGGCTTCCCATTTCACAAATATCTCCATCTTCTAACAAAGTAACTTCATCGCAGGACTCTAAGAACTGCAGAGGTAAGCGATGGAGAATCAACTTCTGCCTGGGTAAGAGGATGGAGAGCCCACGCCAAACTTCTCTAACATTAGTTAGCACCGTTGACGTTAGGGGCCAGATAATTCTCTGTTTGTGGGGCTGTCTCGTGCACTGTAGGACCTTTACCAACCTTCCTGACCTCTACCCACCAGATGCGGGTAGCACCCCCTCCCGGAGGTGTGACAAGCCATCATGACTCCAGACACTGCCAAGTGCCTCCTGGGGGCAGACTGACCCCTAACAGAGAACCACTCATCGAGTACCCACAGGTCTCATGAGTACAAAAGAAGCCAACCAGCCTTTGGCCGTCACAGTGAAGCACACTCCATCTTCCTTTGCCACTGCTCCTTCAATGAGCTGCCTTCTTAAGAAATCTGACCATGGCTGGGTGCAGTGACTCATGCCTATAATCCCAGCACTTTGGGAGGCTGAGGAAGGTGAATCACCTGAGGTCAGAAGTTCGAGACCTGCCTGGTCAACATGGTGAAAACTCATCTCTACTAAAAATACAAAACTTAGCCGGGTGTGATGGCACGCACCTATAATCCAGCTACTCAGGAGGCTGAGTCAGGAGAACAGCTTGAACTCAAGAGACGGAGGTTGCAGTAAGCTGAGAAGGCGCCACTGCACTCCACCCTGGGTGACAGAGCAAGACTCCATCTTAAAATAAATAAATAAATAAATAAATAGAAAACTGATCATGAAGATTTGGAAAATCAAATTGACAGTCACTGCAGGCAGGACTTAGTAGGGAGGGGAAATACGATCTTCAGGAAGGTCTTCCCCTGTTCTAACATGACAAGGCTCCCTCATCATCCCTGTTTACCCCAGAGAAGCAGACCACGGTGCCGACCCCAGACAACTGGCCGCCTTCCCTGGCCTGAGATGTTTACACCAGCTTTATGTATGAGATAAAAACACAGCTACATTTAACGCTGGCATCTCACATTTTGCCCAAAGCACTTCTGGTTTTTTTTTTTTTTTAATTTGAATTCCCTTCATTTCTATATCATTCCTGAGACCAGGGAGTTCTGCTAAGAGGGGTTTCCTTTCATTTTGGAATGAGACAGAGCCCTCCCCACAGGATCAAGGAAGCCCCCTCCTAGAGGTAGGTAAAATGCTGAGATTGAAAATGGTTTGACCTAAAGAAGCCTTTGCAGTACAGGCCAGAGGTCTTCCCCGATACGCACGTTCATCCAAGGTCAAATCAACCTCTGCTGGTCTTGATTACAAGCTTGAAATAGCTACATTCGGCCATTGTACACTTGATTCAGTGAATAGGGAGGGTACCCAAAGGCAGAATGATAACAGTTCTAACAGCTTGGACAGCTCCAGCCCTCATTCCTCCCTCCCACCGACTGCCCAGCTCCCTGTCTTATCAGCTCATTTTTCAGATGGGGAAACTGAGGCACCGTAAGCCTGTTCCAGTCTCACAGCCTTTTCTGCCTGCGCCACAGCACACACTCCAGCTCCAGGAGCCTCCCAGGGAAGCCCCCTCTGGCCAGCAAGCCCCCAGTGCACTCCAGAGATATGAGGCAGATTTGAGCAGCTTTGTTCTGCAAACTGTCACTGAATCTGCCCTTGGGTGGTATTTCAGTGGCCGCTCCCAGGCTCTTTTCACTTGTTTCCTTAGAAAAGCAATCCTCCACCCCAACCATTCAGAAGCACCCAGATTGCCTATGGGCCTGAGAGTAGGAGCAGAGGGGATGGGCTCTAGAAAAGCCCCAGGGGCCAGGTCTGGGGCTCTGAGTCCCATCCTCCCTGACAAAGGACAGTGGGACCAAGATCCAGTGCCACCCAGTGGCTGCCTGCCTCTTCCAACATGACAGGGGAAGGTAAACTCTGAGGAGGTGGGCCTGGTGTGAAGATGGCTCCTGCCGGAGGGCATACCACTGGTCAATCAGGGCCGAGGTTATGATTCCCCTCATGAAGACTCCTGGAGGGACAGCTGTGACCCACGTCTGTAGGGACAAGGCATCCCCCTCCAGGTCCCCACAGCCCTCAGAGGACAGCCCTTCCTGCTGCAGGGTATCTCCAGGGACATTCCCGGTGCAGATCAGGGGCTGCCATGTTTAGCGTCTGGGCTAAACCAGAGCCCATTTGTAGTCACTTCGTGGGGGTCTTGAAGAAATCCAACCTTGTCCTCCATCCTAACTCCTCAGAAGGAGAGCTGGACCAGAAGAAGAACCAGGAGGTCTTGTCCACATCAGTCCAGTGTGATGCTTTCTGGAGGTGCTCAGGCCCACTCAGAGGAAACCCAGACAATCCTCCTGTGCAAAATTCGGATGCCTGGAGCTTATTCCAGGGCCAGAACTGTAGCCCTGGGCAAAGGTGGGGCTCAAGCTAGGAGCAGCATCGCAGCAATGGGAAAGCCTGGTTTTACGGGGTCTTCAAGCTGGTCCTCCCTGGCTTCAGGCTGGTCCTCTTGGCCATTACTGGATGGTCCTAAAATGCTGGCTGCGGCATCCTGTAGCCATGGCAACCTTATTTGCTGCTGTTGCCCCTCCCTCTCCACCCTCACTTGACTTACCCTTGCAAGGCAATGAGACCGGCCTCCTGCCTCCAGACCAGGCCCTTATGTAACATGTTCTCTGCAGGTAGCAGGAGAGTAAAGACAGGATTCTTGCTCTCTTGCCCCAGTAGGCCTCTCAGCATAAGTCAGTCCCAAGGACTCTCTTGTCGGGCAAGGAGGCACCCATGTGCACATATGACCACACATGTACACACACATGCACCGCACTCCTTCCCCCACACATCTCTGGGAACTCCCTACAAAGAGGGGAGAAGAAGATGGTCTGGAAGCAGGGAAACCTGCCTTGGGAGGAGGATGCTCTTGGATTCCCACCAGGCATGAATGTCTCTTGCATCCCTGGCTCTCTCCCCACATTCCAGCAGAAGGCCGGCAGATTTAGGCAGAAAAGGAGGCTCTGTGAGAATCAGGCACCAGCCACACCCATCCTGTGACCTCCTGGATCCTGCATATCTCATCACCTGCAGCTGGTGGGTCACCAAGACGACCATCTTCCCCCTGAGCATCTTCTTAATGCACTCCTCAAAGACATGCTTCCCGAAGTGGGCATCCACGGCCTACAGGGGGTCATCCAGTAGGTAGAGCTGATGGTCAGAGTAGACAGTGTGGGCCAGGCTAATCCACTGCCTCTGCTCCCTAGGGAAATTGAGGCCCCACTCCCCAATCTATGGATGAGGGGGCTACTATTACTATTATTACGTTTGCCAATCTGCAACTATTATTTCTCTGTGGACAGGGGACAGTAGGGGCTATTACTACTATTACTACATTTGCCAATCAGCGACTACAAGACTCAGACTGTTCAGCACATCTTCCTTCCCTCAGCCCCTCCCATCTTCAATTTCCTCCCACCCTCCTGCTTCCTATGGCCCTACGAGCCACAGTTTCTGCCCTAGGAGCAGAATCTCTGCTAACCATGCCACATATGAAGGATGCTAGATCCATCCTTCAAAGCCCAATTCAAGTGCCACCCTCTCTTCCCTGAGCCACCACCCTCTGTGTGTGACTGCCCATCATCAGACCACCCTGAAGTTCTTGGGCAATGGGAGCTTTCTGGAGCTTCTCAGGACTCAGGGGAAAGACAAACACACTGACCCTCACCACGTCCAGGTTCCTCCACCCTGTACAGGGCCCCCGGCCATACTAGACACTGTGGTAAGTGGAGGAGCTCCACTTGTCTGCCTCTCCAGGAAGCCCGGTGTGGGCAGCGGTGACTAGGGCAGAGCTCTTTCCCATGGGGAGGGAGGGGTGCCCGACTCATAAGACCCCAGCACAATTCGGATCCCACAGGAAGGGGCTATGTCTTTATTATCACCAAAGGGACTTGTGTGAGCAGAGAGCAGGGGGGATTGCGGCGGTGAACCAGAGGGAAACGTGGCTGGGTACAGACGGAAAAGAGAGTTCCTATTTTGTTTACTGTTGAGCAACTATCCCATCCCTAGGCAGCTCTAAGCCCTGTGGAGAGACGAGCCTTGTCTCCCTGGTTCATCATCACCACTCTAAGGCTTGGCACCAGGCTGGGCACAGAATAGGTGCTCAATAAATATTTATGGAAAGGATGATTGCTTACTGTAGGTGATTCTATCCAATGGAACCCAAAGTGGACCCCAGGTGTTCAGCCAGGCACTGAACTAGGTGTGGGGTGGGACACACAAGCTGAACAAGAGAAGTGCCCTCTCCCTTGAGAGCTCCACGTGGTTAGGTTAGTTATGTACATAATAGCAGTAGCAAGCAGAATTTCTCAAGTGCCTGCTGAGAAGCATCAACAGAGTACTTTGAAGCAAATTATTCAGGTGGTGTGACTTGGGAAAGCCTTCCTCGAGGAGGTAGATTTGGGGTTGAAACTCAAAGGGTTGTGATGTAGCAGGAGCAGAGACTTAGAGGCTAGGAGGTGAGTGAGTGCTTTGGCGGACAGGTGGGAGCATGGCCTGGAAGTGGGAACCAGGGCTGCAGTGTGGGAGGTTTCAGACGCACGCCAGGAAGGCTTCATGGCCATTTCCTTGGGGAGACAGACTGAGGCACCAGCAGAGAAAGACACCTGACTGGTCTTTCCTCGGAAAGCTTTAGCATTCTGATCTCCTCTGGGGCTCCAGGGCAAGGTGAGGAAGATTGTCCAGAAGGCACAAGAAGGGTGGGAACCTAAGATGGCAAGGTGACTCCCCTGGGTCTCTCGGGGTGGCAGACTTAGCCCAGGATGGAGCTAGCACTTTGGACAAGCACCCTAGGGGGCAGTGTTTGGAGGTGACCCCTCTTCTCCCGCCTGGGCAGAGCTAGGAAGGCAAGAAGGGGCCCTGGTCTGGAGGACAGAGCCGGCGCCCTCGAGACAAGGAAGTAGTTTTCACCAGAAACCTTTCCCAAAATGACAGGCGGATTGGGAGTAGGCCCAAGAAGTGACCACACTGTGCCAAACACCAGTAAGTTTGATGCCATGTCCACTCTACATCCAGCAAGTGTAGATCCAGAGGGAGAATTCAGAACAGGTGGAAGCTGAGTTTTGCCCACAAGTCCTGGGATCACTCTGTCTTTGGGGCATCTGGATGTGGAGCAGGGGCCTCCTGGCCTCAGCCCTTTGGACCTGAGCAAATGTGCTGCATGCACTGCAGTGGGCTTGCACTCCCAGCCCTGCTCACCTAGGTCACGTCTCCATAGGGGAGGCTGCTCAGGTCCTTCTGGAGGCTGCAGACACAGACTATGTGCTGATACCTCTGAGTACAAAGCTCAGAAGCAGCTGGGTGAGAAAGACCCCAAGCCCTGCTGCCCTGGGCTGTTTCCACAGGCGCTGCTGGTGTTGCTGGGGCAAGGGGTGGCGGGTGCTATGTCCAAGGCTCCCTGGCCAGTCGCTCTGTCTTCAGTAACCCAAGGGCAGTGTCCCCTTGACCACTGGTCCCTCCCCTGACCTGATGCAGAGTTGATTCAGGAATGGCCCCTCCCCTGGCAGGGTTCTTGCCGCGCGGGGAAGAAGACAATGATGAACATGAAGCCCTGCATGGAACACAGAGGGCGCCAACGTGGGAGTCAGAGGAGGGGTCTCCTGTGGAGGCTGCAGTCACCGGGGATGGCCTTCTAGGGGGCACAGGGCTGAAGCAGGACCATGGGGGGAAGAGAGGGTGTGTGCGAAGGAGACTAACAGCGGGGTGCTGGTTGACCATCAATCATGACATTGACATTTGCCCAGCCCCTCCACAGAGCTACTCCAATCACCTTTCACTGCTATTCAGTTGGAGAGAATGGATTTTTCTCCCCTGGGACAACTCAGGACACTGAGCAGAAGGAAACAGCACCTGAGGTGAGGGGTCAGAATGGGAGAGAGAGTGGGACTCCTGCTCTTCGGGCCTCTTAGTCTCTCCATTGTGCCTGCTCAGCATCACCCTCTGTCTTGCCCTGCAGCCAAGGCTTTGGGGAGTTTGACAGCTGAGACCTTAACCAGCTCTGTGGCAGCAAAGCCACCAGGACCAACACCCTATCCTGCAAAAAGCAGCAAAGCTGTGGGGTTAGCCCCACAGCAGTCCCCAGGGGCATTACCTGCTCTGCCCCAGGGGGAGGGCTTTGGGGACTTCTGGCACCGAGGAACCTAGGAACATCCATGGTGACTGCAATGTCATCCCCATGTTACTAAAGATGCCCACATCCTCCTCCCTCGGCTTTCTCTGCAATTCAACCTCACTCAGACAGCCCCCACTGTAAGCAGAACTGTTCCCCAGCATCACAGAGCCCCTGCACAGCTGCCTTGAGGACCTCGCTCCTGCTCCGGATGCCTGGAGTGCCTGGGTCAGGTTTATGCCCCCCTTAGCAGCTGCTGAGCACTGAGACTGGGCCTTTAGGTTTCCACCTGCTCGGCGGGTTTCCTGCCTCCACAGGGGTTGATATCATTAGCATTATTGGCCTCAGGACCCTCTTTCCTTCAATGAGTGACAATGGGCAGGCCTCACAACTCAGTCTTCAAAAGACAAACCTTCCCAAAAAACAGGCAAGGAAGAGAGCAGGCAGGTGCAAGCAGGTGCCCTCCTGGTTGCACGCAGGCCCTGGAACAGAACCTGGGCACGGCCCGAGCATTCTGTCCACACACAAACTTTAGAGTTGGCATATGTAGAGGGGCCTTGGGATCAGAGAATGAGCTTGAATCCAGCTGGGCGACCTTGAACAAGTGACTGTGCCTCTCTGATCCTCATTCTCTGCTCTATAAAATTGTGCAAACAACTCTTGGGTTGTTGTGAGAATGAAGCAGAAAAATATACAAAGCCATCAGCACTGTGCCTGCTGTGCTGCAAATTCCCCATCAGTGGGGGCCATTATTACTATTACTACATTTGCCAATCAGCGACTATGAGACTCAGACTGTTCAGCACATCTTCCTCCCCTCAGCCCCTCCCACCTTCAATTTCCTCCCACCCTCCTGCTTCCTATGGCCCTGAGAGCCACAGTTTCTGCCCTAGGAGCAGAATCTCTGCTAACCACGCTGCATATGAAGGATGCTAGAGCCATCCTTCAATGCCCAATTCAAGTGCCACCCTCTATTCCCCGATCCACCATCCTCTTGTGATCTCTGCCACCTTGAAACAATCTGAGCACAGTCTCCTGCCACCTGGCACATCCCTCCCTGGTGTACTGTCAATTCTGTGCATTTCTTATAACTCCTCCCAGGCTTGAGTATATTAAGGGCAAATATATAACTGAGCCATCTCTGCCCCCATGTTGCCCTGCATGCTGCAGGCATTTGGCACATATTTGCCCTCTGAACGTCATTTTGATGAATAAGGCAACCCTCTGTCCAGTCCACTTCCACAGAAAAAGAAGGCATTCCAGGTGGGTGGCACAGGCCAAGAGATGCTGAGCAGAGTAATTTGGCTGCACTGATCACTGACTCCTGCACTGATCACCTCCCTGCCACACCTGAGCCTCCTGGCCACAGGATGACATGGCCAGGGAAGAAGGGGTAACTGACAAGCCTCTTCCTGGGAACATACACGCTGGCCATGCCAGCCAGTAGGGACAGAGTTGGTGGGTAAGATGGGAAAGGCCAAACCACTGCTGGAGAGCTTACAGCCAGATTCCTAATACCAACTCCAATTCTCTTAATTCAGCATTGTGATGCCTGGGAAGGGTTCTGAGTGACCCAGCTGTCAGACAGCTCCAGCTCCAGGCAACTGATGTTGATCTGGAGCTCAAAGTCTAAGTCCAAGACTCAACTCGACATTTAATAGCACTTCATACCTTGGAGGGTCAACTCGCCTCTCTGGGCCTTTTTCTTTATCTATAAAATGGGGATATAATGCCAGGATCCCCCTAAATAGGTGGTTATGGGACTCAAATGAGAGAATGTACATAGCAATACACCAAGCTAAGCAAAGAACCATAAAAAGCCATTACTTTCCAGAGCTTAAAGATGATGATTCAATCAACGGTGAATTGGATAAAGAAAATGTGATATACGTACACCATGGAATACTATGCAGCCATAAAAAAGAACAAGATCATGTAGCAGCATGGATGCAGCTGGACTTTATTATCCTAAGTAAATTCACACAGAAACAGGAAACCAAATCTCACTTGTTCTCATTTATAAGTGGGAGCTAAACCTAAGGTATGCACAGACATACAGATGGCAACAATAGGCACTGGGGATACCAAAAGGAGGGAGGGTGAGAGGGTGAGAGGGTGCAGGGATGAACAGCTTCCTCTTGGGTACTATGTCCACTAGAGAGTGAACAGGAGCAGTAGAAACCCAAACCTCAGTATCACACAATGTGCCCCCATAACAAACCTGCACCCCCTGAATTTAGGTTAAAATTAAAATTTAGAAAAATCAAACATTTCAGAAGTAGGGGGAGAATCACTCCAGAAATGTCCAAGGTAATTATGGAACTAATCAGTTGTTAAATGTTCTTAGAGAAAATATTTCTTCCCAAATTGCTCTCTGTTCATTACGTACTATGGTTATTACAAATAATACTCACAATTTTCGTGTTGAAAACATTTACAATATACTCATTTAGTACTTTTGAAATATATAATGCATTAAAATGTATTACTGTCACCATTGTGTACAATAGCTCACTAGCGCCTATTTCTCCTAATTGAAACTTTGCACCCTTGGTCAACATCTCTTTTTTCCCCACACTCCCCTCTCCCCCAGCATCATATATCAAAACATAAAGGTGCACCCCATAGATAGATGTAACCATTTAAAAATAAAATAACATAAAAAATTGAGTAATTATAAGTTGAGCTTTTGTTTTTATTTGATTAGATCATTCTGAGGACACTAACGGTGATAATATATCCTGAGAGCTCTGATGTCGATTAATAATGTCAGGGCTGATTCAGTACATACTTGCTCATGATTTCACACAGTTTTGGGTACTCAGCCTAAAGCAAAATTGCTGGATTCCTATTTCTCTAGTCAGGCCACATATGTCCTGTTGCAGAGAAACTTGGAACATATGCTCCTCTGCCCTGGGAATGAAGTGCCAATTCTATCCTGTTCCCAGTGTGCAGTCGCAGGTCTGCAGAAGTTGCCTCTCCTGAATGCTTGGCTCAGGAAGAAGACAACCAGTGTCTTTGTGGATCTGATGAATGTTTAATCAGAACTCATTAAACTCAGAACCCACTTAGCAGTCATTACCGACAGCATCGGCATCTGTAGGAGTGTGTACCAAACGCAAATGTGCCTCTTGCTTTAAAAGTTAATATTACCTTTTGTGATCATACTTTCTCCAAATAGTATGTTTTTTTTCTCACATTTCTATGAAAGATCCATGCCTGCTGTGTAACGTAGGCCAAAGTTCCATTGACTGCCACCACCCCTTTGCGCAGGTGCATATGGAGCAACAAGACCAGAGAAGTTCAGGAGCCAAGCCTTGAGGACTTTTCCTGAGTGCCCATTGCACCTGGCCACCCATCAATTTCATGAGCATTGCTTACAAAGGTGGAAAAGTATCAACAGAACGTCTTGTCCATGCACCAGAAAGCCCAACCACGCAGATGGAGAATCTCAAAGTCGAACACCTGCATAGGGCCAAGCAGGGAATGTTTAAAAAGAGGCAGTGGTGAGCCCTGCTACAAACTGGAGAGCTCGGACTACAGGGCTGCTCCCAGCGCACATGGCACCTGGGCCCAACTACAACAGGATGTCCTCTGAGCAGACTCTTCACAAGAGGCTCCCCTTCCTCCAGGTGCATTGGCTGGATCCAACCTGCTCAACCAGCTCCTGGGAGCAGGGCACAGCCTGCACGGCTGTACACCTTCCTGCACCTTCAGGAAGCCACCTTGACTCAGTTGCATCATTGGTGGCGTGCAAGGATGCAGGCCTGATGGGGCAGGAGTTGCTAATTTGTCAAGAGGAGTCAAAGATCCAGTTGTATATGAAATCTTTGGACTTTTAAAACATTCAGCAGGCCAGGCGCGGTGGCTCATGCCTGTAATGCCAGCACTTTGGGAGGCTGAGGCAGGTGGATCACAAGGTCGAGAGATGGAGACCATCCTGGCCAACATGGTGAAACCCTGTCTCTACTAAAAAATACAAAACTTAGCTGGGCATGATGGTGCATGCCTGTAGTCCCAGCTACTCGGGAGGCTGAGGCAGGAGAATTGTTTGAATCCAGGAGGCGGAGATTGCAGTGAGCTAAGATTGCGCCACTGCACTCCAGCCTGGCTCCTGACGATAGAGCATGACTCCGTCTCAAAAAAAAAAAAAAAAAAAAATTCAGCAATCCACTTATAACTATTCATGGGCTCCTATTTGCGACCCTGAGTACATACATTCATTTAAGATGACCCCTCATGGCGGGCATCCAATAGACAACGGTAGACATTCGTGGGGATGCAACATTCAAAGCTATCAACAGAGGGGACATGTGGGGCAGGCCACAGCGCTCAGGGCTGATGTTCACAGGGCAGTGGCAGTGGGTCCAGGGGCAGAGAAGGAGAGTCGCCAAGGCAGCCAAAGGATGTGATGCCATTTCACCTCAGGAATTGCGCAAGGGGCAGAGAATTCAGTTTGGAGAAAAGACCATCATGATAACAATAGTCATTAGTATTTTTAATGTGTAGGGTAGATTCCGTGCACTGAATTAAGTGTATGCTCAAAATTTATCACCATGACTGGCCTTGAAAATTTTCCTATAGCCAACTATTACTTACATAATGTCATTCAATCCTTACTGCAACTCTCCTTAGCCCCATTTTACAGACAAGGAAACCAAGAGGTTGCATGGTGCTCAGAGAGGTTAAGTTACCTGCCCAAAGCTAAATAGTGAGCATGTGGCAGAAACGGCTGGGAAACCCAGGCAGTTCAGAGTGCCTCCCTGCCTCCCCAGTGGCCACAGCGAAGGGCCTGATCCTACCACTGTTGCATGGGAGTTAGATTCAATGCTATCTCAAAATTTCCCAAGGACAGAAGTTAAAAGGAGGCAAATTTCACTCCAATATACATCAAAACTCTCCAGAGAGGGACCTGGCTGTGACATGATGAGTTTCTCATCACTGGAGCTATCTGAGCAGAAGTTGGACCATCCCTTATGCAGTAGGCTGCTATCAAGAGTATTCACATCATGAAGTGGAGAATTGAGCTGAGTCACCTCTATGGCTCCCACTGACTCATCACGGAGGCACACACTCTCAGAATGTGGGGGAACCTCAAGAACTCACCCGATTCAACCCCCACCTCCGCCTCCATGAAGGGAAGGAGTTGTCATTCTTTCTATAGATGAGTCAGCTAAGGCCAAAAGAAGTCACTCATATTAAAACTTGTAAGACACATCCCCCACCTCCATATTCTGTTATCCCCACTTCTTCAGAAGTACCCCGACCTCTTCCCAAAACAGGCAATCCCAGCTGCCCAAATTTCCCTTTAGCAACAGCAGAGGGGGAGAAAGAGGACTTAGCATTTTTTTCCCACAAAACTCATTCATGTGGGATGTGACTTAAAAACCATGGTGACATAGAGGTTTGTGAAAACTACAAATGGCTTGGCCATTTTCCCTGGGGTCACCCAACTAGATGGAGTACAGAAGGTGCAAGGACCCAGGTCCCCTCTCTCTTTTACCCGAAGGTTTGCAGAAGCTGCGGGCACAAGCTGCTTTAGTTCACACATAAAATATATCTATAGTCACCTTGAGTTCCAGATGCCAAAGTCCTTCCTCACCAAGCTGCCTTGCTGGCATCTCTAAATCAGGGCAGCCCAAGTCATGGAGAAAACCATGGGTTTAAGGACCCATCTTTCCTTTGACCATGATCGAGCTTTAGGCAGGGAGGCAATCACCATTCAACACACTTCCTCAGAGGGCAAATTCAAGAATGTGTAAAAAACTCAGCCTCATCTGGATAAGGGTCCTGGAGCTGCTGAGTGCATTAAACTCCCAGAAATGAACGTAAACCACACCCACAGTGTCCAGTGCAGCCTAGCCCATCCACTGGGTCCACTGTTCTGATGGCACCACGCCTGACCGGAAAGGAGCCATTTCATTGTCATGTTAATGTCCCATCTTCACAGTACTTATCACACAGCTTACCTGACCTAGGACAGCTGCAAGGAGAGAGCTCTTTCCACTTCCCACATTCCCACATATTCCCAAGATCTTCCCCTGCCAGAGAAACAGAGATGGGACATGGTCATTCTCTCCCACTTCTTAGAGAATCTGGTCCAAAGGTGCTGCTCCCAAACTGTGCTGGTCAGGCCAGGTGGAGACCAAGGGGTCACTGCAGGCTCTGGGGCATGGCAACTGCAGCCACCCCACCCCTGCCCACATACACACAGCCTGGGAGGATGCAGGAATGTAAGTCTTAATTAAGTGCTTTCCCTTGTGTGGCATAGCCAAGCACCCAGAGGGCTTCTAGAAATCATGTAAGATCACTGATGTGAAACAGCCTTGTGCTGGTCTGGGAGACACAGGCCCTGAAGATGAAGACTATTCTGTGCCCAAACTCCAGGAAAGCAAATCTAATGGGACATGAAAGGCTGTACAACCCAGGGTGATTAGGGTAGCTCTTGAAGTATGGAGATCTAGGAGCTGTTCAAAAAAATTTTTTTTGCGTGGAATCCTTCACCATAACAACGCAATGTGGAATTACTGAGAAGTTACACTATTCTAACATTCTAAAGCTGCAGATTTATTAATTCAACCAACAAATCATTATTAGAGCTTGCTATGTGCCAGGCACTGTTCCAACCACCAGCAAGGGCAGCAATGAACACAACGGGCAAAGGCCTGAGTCTGCCCTCATGGAGCTTACCTTGTAGTCACGGGGGAAAGGACAGGAAGCAAGACAAGTAAGTGAAATGTAGGGCGTATCTATGCATGCCATGGAGAAAATGAAAGCAGAGAAGAGACGAGGAGTGGACTGGGGGTTCGAGGATGCCAGGAAAGCCATACTGGAAAGGTAGATGTCTGAGCTTGGGTTGTCCCAGAAACAGACCTCGAATCAAGGATTTGAATGAAAGTCACACTCACATTTGGAAAGTGCATGAAATTCCAGCAGGGAAGAGGAAAAGTGATACAGGAAAGGGAAGGTGGCCCAAAAAGGCAGCCTATTGGGTCAGCTCCCTAACAGACTATCCTACTCAGGAGGCAAATGGAACTCACCCCTGCAGGGAAAACTGGAGGAAGCTCTGGGGAACTGAGTGTGGCTTTGTCCTGCCCAGTGGCAGAAAGAGTTGGGGTATTGAGGACCCAGCAGTCATTGTTTGAGGCCTGCTCTCTAGTCTGTGAAGCTCTTTATGGAGGTATGCACAGCCCTCAGGCGCAGATGCAGATAAGGCAGTTGGAAGATGGCCAGGAAACACTGAGGTCCAGGGCACATGAACAGGAGCAGCATCTGCCACAGGTGACATTTGGGTAAGACCTGAAGGAGGTGAGGAGGGGTGCCATGGGGGTATCTGGGGAGAATCATTGCAGGCGAAGGGAGAATCACTCAGTCTCATGTGGAGACTAAGAACATTCTCATGTAAGCCTGCTCCCTGTAATCCGTTAGGGCAAAGATACCCAACGTGGGGCCAAATATGGCTTTTTTCCCCACCCCAAGTTAGACCAGAAAGGGCCATCCCCTCTCTGCCTCTCGCAACACATGAGAGTTGCTGCCCGTCATCGATAATTCCTTAGACAAGGTCTTTGCTGAATCCCGGGCACCTTGGGATAAAATAGTGATCCACGCAGACGCCTCCCTGCCTTTGTGGAGCCCATATGCATGTAAATGAAGTTGATTCTATTTAATTCCCCTAAAAGGGCTTCACGAAACTGGGGCATTATGGAGACTTGGGGACAAAGAGACCACAGATGTGATCTAGTCTCGCTAGGTACTTGGTTGCCCTTTGAGTCCTGTCCACTTCTTGGGGGCAAGGAAGAAGCCTTCTAGATTCATCCTTGTCTTTAGCAGAAAATCCATGAGGCCTGTAACCTCTGACGCTTCACCCGACAAACATTGCCGGCAACCTCTGAGCCAGGCGTTGGGCTTGGAAATAAGGACATAACTGTGAATAAAAAACCCTGACCCCATGAAGGATCCAGTCTAATGGAATTGAGGAGTTAAACTTGGAAAAACTTGGATGTGCTGAATGTCGAACATTTGAGGGCAGCACTTAGGCTGGACATAATTATTAAAGAAAAAGACAACAACCAGACCTAACAGCTGACCCTTACTATGGGCTTAGCACTTTTATGTGGTGTCTGAGTTCTCACAACCACCTTGTGAAATGGGTACTTCTGTGAAATACATGGCACAGGTAAAGAAACAGAGGCTCAGGGAGCTTCAGCAGGATGTCCAAAGTCAAGCAGCTAGAAAGTGACTGGGCCTGGAACTAGGGTCCCCCAGGTTCCAGAGGCAATACACTTCATCAGCGCCACACTGTACTGCCCCACTGAAACTTCAATTTATTTCACAAAACGTTGGCTGCATCCTCGAGGCATGAATTCTGGGGTCACCGACATACTGAAAAGCACGTCAGTAAAACCATTTCGCGGCTAGAAGGCTATGTCCTTAGAGCACCGGGGAGTTCCTGGAGGCCTCTCGGAGGCAAATGGGAAGGCAGGGTGGGGGAAGTCTGGTGCTCCTCGGGGAGAGTGACAAGAAGGCAAAGCAGGTGGAACTCAGTGGGACTTAACTGAAATCTAAGCTCAATTGTTCTCAGCCAACCAATAATTGTTTCCAATGAATACGTGGCAGTCAGCCTCGTTAGCTATGAGAGTACCATTCTCACACTGGCTATTGAGCTTGACGTTGCATAATAAATGAGAAGCTTTCCTTCTACAATGCTCGCACAGGGAAAGAGTGAATCAACAAGGTGAGAGATTAAAATACGAGGCACAAGATTAATGTTGGGCCCTCTGCAGCTAAATCAACACTGCTACCCTGGGAGCGCACTGCTGAGTTCCCAGAGCAAGAAGCAGATGCACGTAGGAGTTGCAAGAGGAGGCCAAACATTCCCTAAATCCACAGTGTTGCCTGAAATCTCCCTCCCCCAATCTTGAGGGAGGGAACAGCCAACAGACACTGGCTGGCTTGGCTGGCTTAGACCTTTAGATCTTGGCCGGATTGCTTGTTGATCTCAGTTTTCTTTTTACAAGAGGAGTATTTCCCTGTGGTTAAGAGCCCAGACTCTGAAACCAGGTGCCCTGGGTGTGAAACCCTCCTCTGCCACTGCTGGCTAGTGACCTTGGGCAAGCTATTTAACACTCTTGTGCCTCAGGCTTCTCAATCATCAAGTGGGGGCAGTTGTGATGCCTGGTTGTTGGGGTGGTAACGTGAGTTTATTATGTACCTGGTAAATAGCGGTGTTCAAAACTTTCAGTCATCATTATCTATCAGAATATTCCAATGTGAAATTAAGAACCATTATGGGCCTATCATGCCCATAATTCCAGTGCTTGACCCAGGAGGCCAAGACAGGAGAATCACTTGAGGCCAGGAGTTCAAGCCCGGCCTGGGAAACACCAAGAAAGAGGTTCTGAAATCTCTACAAAAAAATAAAATAAAATTTAACTTAAAAATTATCACTTTCCCCCGATAAATTAAAAAAAATTATGTGGGCATGGTGATGCATACTTGTAGTCCCAGCTACTTGGGAGGCTGAGGTAGGAGGTTGCTTGAGCCCAGGAGTTTGAGGCTGCAGTGAGCTGTGATTGCATCACTGCACTCCAGCCTGGGAAACAGAGTAAGACCCTGTCTCACACTCATGAAAAAAGAACAAATATAAAAAGATTTATGAAAGCCAGTCAGTTCAAGCCTAGCCACCTGGAGTGGACTGTTCGTTCAAAATTGCAACTGACTCCAAGGGAAGGCCTGCAAATCAGAATGAATATGACCACCATCTCCTCCACACCTAGAGAGGGGGTCTCTAATGTTCATGTACATAGTTTTAAAATTAGGGGAATAATACAGGGACTCTGGTTAGAGACATCCCATCACCACCTCCCACTCTAACTGAACTGAATCAGACCTGGGGAAGGGCATAGCTATACAATGCAAGGAGGGCTGGAGGCCACACCTGTGCAACACACAGCCACCTTTCTCACCACAAAGCTTACGTGTGCAGAACCAATTTGGGGATGCCACTTTGCTCCTCTGGGCCAGTGGCTCCTTTGGCTGGTGGACTCCACTCACTGAATGTTTCCGACCACTGTTTCTTGAATAAATGCCTCTTCAGGTTCTGCACTTTCTTCGGGTCACTTTTCCTGCTGGCTTCATGTTCCCATGTCAAGGTGGCATTTGCTAAAAGCAAGACGGGATCTGGGTCTTCTGGTTGGGTGATGTAAGATGGAGGGCTTTCATCTATGAGAATTTTCTAAGATTAAAGAGATAAAATTAACTGAGCAGATGTCATGCATTTGCAAGAATCATCCCAATATATCTTCTAATAACCCCAAGTCATAATTTTGACCGTTCTAACCCAGCACATCCAGGAAAGAGGTTCTGAAATTATTCCCCCAGGAGAAGCTGCAGCAGAAATAGTCCACTAGCTCATGCTATCTGGGACAGCTGTCTTTTAACCACAAGGCCTATGTGGGTCACCCACATTGGAGAATGCTGATCCCAGCTACATTTCACCCTCGTGCTCAAGACAGTCAGTTTTGCCAGTCTTAAGGCAGTGGACTTTATTGCTTAGCACTAAATGCTTATGAAACCAAGGTCATATGTTCCATCTCTGCTGTGTCCTCTTCCTAGCCCAGTTCAACAAAGCATTTGCTAAGCCCTGACCATGTGCCAGACTTTGGGCTGAATAGCAGAAATGAAAATATAAATATGGCACAGTTCCTGTCCTTGAAGAGAGTATAGTCTGGAAGGAGATGAGAAGAACATGCACAGATTGTTTCTGTAAAATGTGATGAGGAAAAAGTACTGTGACTGTCAGAGAAGGGACACTGGCTTCTCATCCTCAAGGTCCGTGTAGTTGCCACCTGAGCTGCATCTGTACAGGTGTTGTACAGGCAGAGATGAAAGAAGGGAAAGAAGGAGAGAGCATTCTACCTGAGGGCCCAGCATGGGCAAAGGCAAGGAGCACGCAAAGGCATGGCTTGTTGGGGCAGCGGCGTGAAACAAGCAATTCAAGATTAAGGGGATAGGAAGAGAGGTGGACACAAAACTGAGAACCCATGGATGGAGAACCTAGAGGAGACAAGGGTTCAAGGATTTTAAGCAGGTGAGAATGAGTATTGGTAATCAGACCAATATTTTAACAGCTCTCTTAGGGTTGAGTGCTATATGGACTTAAGGAAAATGTTAGAAAAAGAAGGGTTAGTTCATAAATCACTGCATTAATCACATGAGAGGTGATGGAGGCCTGGACTGAAGGCAATGGCAGTAGGGACAGAGTGAAGGTTGAGAAGTCAAGAAATGCCATCCTTCATCTAGTTTTAGAAGTGCCTTTATTTTTTTCTGATATCATAATATATGAGATTAATGGAATTGTGTTGATTCTTATGTTTTGTTTAAAAAGTGATAACAGCGCACCTTCCAATCCAATCTTACAATGGCCCCCCCTTAAAATGGAGAGAATACCATAATCAAGAGTTGACTTAACAGAGTTCTTGACTAGTTGGATGTGTATGATAAGGGAAAAGGGGAGGGCATGAACCAAGGATGTTTACAGTGACTTCTGGATTTCTGGCTTGGGTGAGTATGATCATTCAGTCAATTCATAGATGCTTGAACAAGTTTTGTGTTGACTCAAATGCCCTTATTCCCTTTCCTCTCCTCAGCTGAACTTTCTTTTTTTTTTTTTAAGACGGGGTTTCACCATGTTGGTCAGGCTTGTCTTGAACTCCTGACCTCAGGTGATCCGCCCACCTTGGCCTCCAAAGTGCTTGGATTACAGGCATGAGCCACTACACCCGGCCTGAACTTTTGAAATACTTTATTTGCTCTTCTTGAAGGTCTCTTATATCCTTATCATGTATAGAAATCCTCGGAGTGCCTCTTCCCACACTGGAACGGAGGCTCTTGAAGATAAAGGCTCTCTTTTCCTTATATTTGCATTTTCTATGTCTTTTATATAGGAGGCACAAAGTATATCTTTGATGAGTGAATAAATGAATGAAGAAACTAAATGAGTGCATAAATTGGGGGCCCCATCATCCTCTTCATCACTTCCATCACCATGCCCATCAAACAACAAACTAGGTAACGTGGGGATGACTCAGTACAAACCCAAATTCACTTGTGGAACACTTAGGATATATAGATTGTTTAGAGAATAGAGGGTCAGGAACATCTTCTTCATGTACAGAGACTCTATCTCATCATTCCTACAAAGTAAGACAACCTGTAAAACTCTGCCTGCTCTATCCTTCATACACATTTATTTATCTAACTTAGAATGGATGCCCGTCTCCCAGTGTCAACTCAACTTGTGACCTAGCTCTCCAGCAGGTTGGTACAGCCTCTGCATATTTGAGCATTTTCCCACCATAAAATGAGATCTCTCTTCCTTACTCACCCAGGGTTAGTTACCTTCATTCTCCTTAGAGAGACATGGGCTTCAGCCATTGCTTTTACTGAGGAAGGCAAAATTTCAATGGCAAACTTTATTATATTAAACATGGCAATCATACTAAATGCCTGAAGAACAAAAGAGAAGTATGAGGGTTTAGAAGGAGAAGTCACCTTGGCTCTAAATCATTATACACATGGGGATTAAAGTTGCTGAAATTAGAAATGGTGGCATTGTCAGAATGCACAGAGGAACAATGCTTTCATTTCATGGTTCAGAAACCATGGGTTGGCTGGTTGGAACAGCAGCATCTTAATCTATTTTGCTTTTGGATTTTCACCAAAATGGCAGCAAGTATATCCCCTTGTCTCTGTTGATTCAGAAGGGAAAAGGTCTGAGGCAGGCCACTAACTGAATACACTTGGCAATCTCCATCCACACTGCATCCTCATTTGAGCCTGTACTATTCACTCGAAGCCCATGCAGATTCTCCTAAGGCACTAGCTGCTCTCAGTTCTTTGGAGGCATCTGACCCTTTGGAGCTATAGCATCCATGCCTGTGCTACACACCACACCACAGCCTCAGGGATGGATGTGAAAGTTCCTGGAGGGACCTGCTTGCCCCTGGGGAAAGCTAGAGGGTGACCCCAGCTCTCCTGCTCCCAGGGCATGGCCTCCACTCTCTGCCTCCCCATGCACCACACAAGGCCAGATTTGAGAGCCTTTGGTCAACTGCAGTTCCCCCCAAACCACCCCCCAAACAAATCACCTCTGTTCACTGGGGCCTTCCTTGCTGCACTCTGCCTAGTGAGTGGTTAATATTCTATAGCTCAGTGAAAACAAGCCTTCTCCCTTCAGTTGCTGCTCTCCAATTTCATCTTCTCATCTGTTCAACTTGTAATTAGCAGCCTCTCCCTAGCCACCCATTTAAGAAATTAATAATACAACTTTCTTCATCAAATCCTAAGTGATCCTGCCTGCTGTTAAATGGGACCCATGGAAAGCGCCCCAGCTTCAAATAATCCTAGCCCCTTCATTAAGAGGATGATGAAGGATGCTTCCATCACATCTGGTCCTAAATACATCCTCAAAGGAAACTGAGCTCTTCTAGATCCCAAAGCACTACCTTGGCTCAGGAAGCCCAGGCCTGGCTGACAGAGCACATGGGTTGCCTGATGTGACTGAGTAGCCTGGGGCTGACCTACTCCTGACATGACCCCAGCAGAGGAAGTGACTGCCATCAATTCTGACTCCAAAGGACCCAGAGCTTTGCATTTAGGAAATTTGGTTTTGGTCTAGATTCCCCTAAAACATCATGTTAGAAAATATTAACTTCATGTGCTCAAATTCATTTGCTTGATATGTTGCTGGAGAAAAAAGAAAATCGGTGTTTTTTTGTTTTTTGTTTTGTCTGGGATCAGAGAAAGCCACAATAATTGGGCAGTGTTGCATAGATCCTTGGTGCATCCTTGCCATTCAATCTGGCTTTGGGCTCACAGCTGGGCTGAAGGCCCTAGAGCAAGTGAGAGTAAACTGTGCATGAGAGATTGCCTGCTGAAGAACCACAGAAAATAAAAGCAACTCACCAAGAAACACAGGGCAGTCATGGGCCCCCATAAAGGATGGCTCAGCAAGACCTT